GGAAGACCCCTTTTTCTTTGGGTTATTTTTTTTTTTTTTTTTTTTTATTTTTTTGCGTTTGTTCAATACTCGCAATTTTTTCCGGGATAAAACGGTAAAAATTGCAGAAATTATACAGAATGAAACTGGACCGGTGGTGCAAGAAAAACACGGGTAAATCTACGTAAAAAAATAATAAAAAAATATAGAGTGTCATAGTTTCATACGAATTTATTAATGAACGAATTTTTTTATCAAAATATGACCTTATTTCTGGGTTAATTTCTTCGTATATAATGCAAGCAATTCAGCAAGTACAGTGACTTTGTTCAGATGTAAACATAAGCGGAGTTCAAATGTACGCCTACTTTCCAAATTTTCAACATCGATTTACTCAAAAACGAAGTTTCGTGCGAAAAAATGTCACTCTACATTTTCAACTCATTTCTTCATCTAGATTCCCATCCCTTAAGTTTGAACTACCTATAACAATACAGGATGTCCCAAAAAATGTATACACACCTTGCGTGATTATAAAAATAGTACATATTTTACTGTTAATACGAACAAAAGTAGCATAATCGAAATAATAATGTCCTTGAGACTTTCTTCGTTTCTCTATTTCTCATTTGATGTGTTCGTGCACAGTCACCTACGACTTCTTTCATTTTACGAATTTCACCAAATGATTTTGCACACATACTTTCGAATGCACAGAAAAAGAATCATTTTTCTGATTCGTGAAAGACTTCTTTTTATCGATTACTGATCAATTATCAATTTACTAATAAATAAATTAATAATATTATATTAACCCGAATACTCGAATATTTAACCCCTTGAGAGGGGCTCTCGGTCGCCATTTTCTTTAATACTGTAACATAAATAATGAATAAGAGATAATAATTATATTAAGAACAGCTATACACGAAATATCAAAACAAAATAATTCTATTCGTTCATTACTCACGCAAATACGAGTATTTATGATCATGATTATGATCCTGTTCAACGCAAGTTTAATCCTAAATCTCTTGAATCAAGAACAATTGCTGTCGACCTTTTGTTTCTCTTCGAAATTATAAATACTATTATACGCAGTCCAGAATTATTATCTTTCATTAATTTCCATGCTCCTTCGAGAAATTTAAGAGACTTTCAAATCATTATACCTGACCAGCACAATACTGCACGACTTGAATCGGCAGACCCTATCAATAGAATTTACATTCTTACAAACAATTTCTTATTAAACCTTTAATTTTTGGCAATAGTATCTCTTCGTTTAAAAATCAGATATTAAATCTCTAAGCAAATTGTTTATATCGGCTATATCGGCATTTGTACCATACGTAACTTATATTTTTTCTGTCTCTAACAAACTGATGTATTTTTATTTTTGTTTATTCACTAATGGGTTCTACTACCTGTAAATTATTATTAAATAAATAAATAAATAAATATACGATTTTCTGTTGTTATTTCAGCATTCAGAGTATCAGCGAGCTTATAAAAATCTAAGGAAATCTGTTTCACCTGAATCTTTCTTTGAGAGGAAGATATGCATTTCCTGTGCATTTATTTATTTATTTATTAAAACGGGATTAACCCATTGGAAAAATTACAAGAAAATTATTACAGTGAGGTATAAAATTAATGGTAACAAATAAAAGTAAAAATAAAAAAGAAATAAAAATAAAAATAAAAATAAAAATAAAAATATACAAATACACAAATATACAAAAAATAAAAAAAGAATAAAAATATACAAATACATAAATATACAAAAAATAAAAATAAAAATAAAAATATACAAATACAGAAATATACAAATATACAAAATATACACATCTATAGACGAGATGTGTATAAGTATAAGAAAGAAAATTTTTATAGAGAGGTACGATGTAGTAGCTATTTTATAAATTTCTTTCTATTGATAGCATTGACAAATGCTTCGAATTGCTGCTTCTTTACAACGAAAAAATCTTCGAGTGCAAAGTATTAAATATATAAATATTAATTTTGAACCCATTTATTCGGATATTAATTAATTCCAAGAACTGCGATTGCAAGTATCATTGGGTTAGGGTACTTAGGCCCAAGGACACTTTAATTTTAATTTCTCTTTATTGGTAGTCTGAATTAACAAAAGCTTCGAATTTTTGTTTCTTTGCAACGAAAAAAGTCTTCGAGAGCAAAGGGTTAAATATGTAAATATCAATTTTGAGCCCATCTATTCGAATATTAATTAATCCCAAGAACTGCGATTGCAAGTATCACTGGGTTAGGGTACTTAGGCCCTGGGGTACCTAATTTCGGTTTGTATTCCTTAGCTGAACCAACGTGGACCATCACTGATGCTCGTCACGCGAGATAAGAGAATACAGGGTAAAACGAGGTGGCTTAAAAGCAAGCAAATTAACTCGAGTTGTCGTGCGCTACTTCCCGGTACCCTACGATTACTCTTTCGAAGGGAAGCGAAAGAAAAGGGAAGGTTAGAGTCGAACCTAATTGATCGAGGCGGGTCGAGTTGACGGAAGTATTTCATGGGATACGAGTATAACGGAACGAAGTCTAGCGGTATGAAAATTCAAGGGCTCCCGTGACGTAATCACGCGACCGGAATACTTAAGCCCCGTGTCTGACTCCTGCCTTCCATTACCATTTATTCCCGGTGCACGCTACAAAGTGCGGAGCTCGTCTGACTTGCGCGGTCCATTACTACTGCAGCCCGCGTCTTATGCTACTCATCCGGGCCGTGGATGTGTCTCGGGGCGACGTGAGCGGAATATCGACTGTCAGGGCTCATTCTTAAGGCCGATGTGACAAACCGTGCCACTTAAGGCGGATGCTCCCTGTGACCGTGGGCGAAATTTTACGCAATTTCACTGTTTCCAAACGATTAACCCTTCGCGCTTGATGATTTTTTCGCTACAGAATTAGTTGAAAAACGGTATTAGTTGAAAAATTTTCTGCTATAAGGCTGATGTTATTTTTTCAGCAATAAATAAGAAATCGTATAATAACTAACCACGTAGAATTATTTAATTTGGATACCGCGCACACTGTTATATTATTTTAAATTTGATATATTAATTAATATCGAACTTTGAAAGTTTATCAAACGGTGACTGAAGAGCGCCTCTCGAGTGCAAAGGGTTTAAATATTGGGTGCTTGGAAATTGCTCATCGAACCTAGCAGAGATCAAATCTGCGTTAAAAAACGAGCAGAAAATATAGAATGATATTTTTTCCTACGATGCTTCGTTTTCGAGAAAATTAAGTTCCAATATAGCACTGAAAATTAATTATTTATCGGTGGATACCAGGTTTCGTAGGGCGTGTATGTTAATAGCTTTCATAATTACGTCCCTGTCGTCTCTTTGTAAAGGTTACAAATGTCGAACAACTAAAGGAAAGGATTAAATTAAGTTTTGGTAAATTAAATCTAGGTAAATTGAAAAAATACACTAGGAAGTGTTCATGGTAATTTAGTTCGAAATATAGAATTGTTATTCGGAAGAATGATTAATTAATTTTACATTTTTAATTCTAATGTGATATAATAAACGTAAATTTGAACAGAGAAAATGATTTACAGCGAGTGTTGTTAAATAAAGCTGTAGGGGAGGTATGCATCCCCAATGAATCTTTAAAGTCGATTTTCTCGAAAAGAAAGAGTTATACGAAAAACTGTCATTGTATATTTTCGATTTATTTTTGAACGTAGATTCAAACCACGCTCGATTCTATCACTAGTTACCGAGCACAATGTATCTGTGTGACTGTAAAGAATTAAGAATTTTTGCATATAAAATATGTATTTAATTTTCACTATCTCCTCTGTTGAAAAGTGTGGTAGGGATCTAGAAATTGTACTCAGTGATATATATATATATATACACACATGCCCTTCATAGCATTAGCAACGATTTTTCAAGTATTTACGATAACCTGATTGAAAAATGTTTTAAACAAAAGGTGATCTGTTTTTGCTTGACTATACAATGCAATAAAAAAAAATTTCAAAAAATGTTGAATATGTGTATATAGAAAAATTGTGTATATAGTATATAACATAATGCATACATATGTAAGATATGCATATTTATACTTATATTAGTATATTATTTAATATATTATTAGTATATTATAAACATATTATTTATACTTTCGAGAAACATCGTAAACTGCAAGCTGTGCTATTATTATGTGACGTACTATACTTATTTAGCTGCTTCTGTGGCATAACTGACCTCTTCAGTAGCCAACTGATTAACTCTATAAAACGAAAATCGAAATTTATTATGGGTATAAAAAGATAAGCACCATGATCAAATGTCATGGTGTCAGAATTAAGAACAGTTTTCGGATCAACTAATAAATTCTATGGGACGTTATAAACCTATGTACACCCTATCAATTAATACACATTTGATATGAATCAAATGTCGTGGCGGTAAAATTAAAAAAAGATTTTGGCTCAACTAATAAATTCTATGGGACGTTATAAACCTATGTAGATCCCATTAATTAATACAAATCAATTAATACAAATTTGATACCAACCAATTATTATGACGCTAAAATTAAAAAAAGGTTTTGGATCAACTAATAAATTCTATGGGACGTTATAAACCTATGTATATCTCATTAATTAATACAAATTTGATACCAATTAAATGTCATGGCGCCAAAATTAACAGAAGTTTTTGACTCAACTAATAAATTCTATGGGACGCTATAAACCTATGTACACCCCATAAATTGATACAAATCGCATAGACGAAATTACTATCAAATAATTCCAATTTTCTAAAAATCACCCCAAGAATATCTATTTGCGAGGTTGATTTAAAAAATTCCCTAGATGAAAAGACGAAAAGCGTGTAAGTTTAAGAGGGATATACCTGGAAAGTGATGGCTTCTCGCTCGATTTGAGACATATTCTTGAAGATGGTGTTGATGATGCCGAGGAACCTCTCTCGCTCCAGGAAACTGGCCTGATCCTTCTCGAAGATATCGTTGAAGTCGTAGAGAATGAAGTAGGTGCCTGAAAGAAAAAGGAGAAAGGAGTTTAATGCTATTCGGGTTGGCTTTAAATTTAAGAAATGAACGTAAGAAAATTATATGAAGATAATTGCACGTGCACGGAGGATAAGGTAAGACTAACAACGATTTATGGGGCCTATGAATCATGCCTTATCGCGGAGAAAAAAGAAGATAGCTCCCTAGTTGCGTTGGTTCACGCCTCAAAGTTCCTCTTTTGGGAGTAGCCGGCTTCCCTTTTATGCAAAAACCATGCCTGGGGTGAGCCTGCCTTTCAGGTCGCCGCTAGACCTGCAAGGGTTGCCACCCCTGAGCACGTAGCCGCGCGACATAAAAGATCTCCTGTCGAACCGATACCACTGGCCTGTCAGGGTATTTGCTTTGTAAATGTTTCGCCCAAAACCCGTGTTCCCTCGCCTTGCAGATGACGTACACGACACGTGGATGAAATATGGCTGCTTTTCCATCGACAGATCGCGATAGTTTTCTTCGATAAATCTGATTACTCGCGCCGTTTCGATAACTATTGACCTCTACTACTTGCGCCATTTATTTCATTTGATATCCCTCTTCGAGTTTCACTTTTGCTACAACGTACGTATAACTTACTATATTGTACCTGTATAATTTACTATAGAATGAGTGTTTCAATTTTTTTTTTATTATAATTAATATAGTGAGTTAATAAACGTAATCCAAATTACCGACTTGTACTACTTATATAATTTAATATTTGTTATATTTCCATACCAATTTCGTTGGGATTCACTAAATATACGACTTTTACAATTTTTCTGCTTTTGATTGATTGGTTGTATACATTGTTCGGCGAACCACTGACTTATACTACTTCTGTTATGGAATTTTCTTGATATTTCCATATGAATTTCGTTGGGATGCACTAAACATACAAATTTGTCAATTTTTCTGTTACAGAAAAATTTCTGCTTTTGATTGATAGATCCTTTACTTTATTTGACGAATCATTGGCTTATACTAATTCTGTAATTTAATCTTCTTGATATTTCCATAGGAATTTCGTTGAGATGCACTAAAGACACGAATTTTTTAATTTTTCTGTGTTTGATTGATAGATTGTTTACTCTGTTCGACGAACCATCGACTTATACTACTTCTATAATTCAATTTTTTTTAATATTTCCATACTAATTTCGTTGGGATGCACTAGAGGCACGAGTATAGCAATTCCTCTGTTACAGAAAAATTTCTGTCTTTGATTCATAGGTTGTTTACTCTGTTCGACGAATTATCGACCTACACTACTTCCATGATATAATTTTTCCATATTCCCATACCAATTTCGTTCCGATTATACTTCATGAATCTGCGTGCACTAAAGCCACGAACTTCTTAATCCTCCTATTAAAAACACAATCTCTCCAGCTCTTCTTCCAGAGCCCCAAGTGGCACAAGTCAACCGATGCTCAACCAACGGTCGAAAGTGGACAAGCGATCGTAACCGAACGATAACCGATGGAACTTTTCACGCTCACAGAATCGTCAGACACTCGGGTAACGGTTGATAACGCGGACGCGACATCTCGGGGGTGTGCTTCCGGATTTACCGCGAGCGGGAACGTCTCGATGCAAAAGAACTCAATTACCGCTAGCTCCCCGAGGACATTCGAGACTCTTAGAGTCTCGAAAGGGTCTCTTCTCTGTTGGAAGAAGACGCGGAAGGAGAAGTAGCGAAGGAAAGACGGAAATTGAGGAAGACCAGGGCGAAAGGGGTGGAGGAGAGGGAGCGCAGCGAAGGGAAAGTGAACAAAGTAGAGGACTGGGCGCAGAGGCAGTGGGAAAAGCGGGAAAAAGAGGAGAAAGGGTGGAAACGCGTGAGTCAGGGAGATCGAGAAGTTGGCTGGTGGCAACGAGGTCTGGGTTGGCGGGAAGGGGGATGGAAAAAAAGAAAGGGTAGCTAGGTTGGACGAGTCACGCCTCGACTAGCTCGTCTCTATCGATTCGACGTTAGCAACTTGTTGGCTACCCCAGACCCCACGATTCTTACGGGAAACCCTGTTCCGGGCTGGAGTCGACCCTCGTGTCTCGGCCAACCCTCTATTTTTCCACGTACCGCGTACAGGCCGAGTTAAGTAGGGTCTCAGGCATTCGACGAGCAAACACAACGTCTTCGTCCCGCTTCGTACCGCTGGCCTCGGAGGCTAAACGCGACGCAAAATGGCGGTAGCTGATACGCTGATAAAGCCACGGAAGTTCGACGGGGGGTAGTTTTCCGGCAGATGTATCGATTTTGCCTGGAAGATGCCCGAGTTTAAGCGAGCTGGTCGATCGGTGGGGAGATAAAGCGGGCTTAGAGAAAGAGAAGCGGCCGTAGGAGATCACGAAACAGCGAACCCAGGGGTTACCAAGTCCCCTGGAACTCGCATTTGCGGCTGTCAGCTAACTTTCCCGTGCCCAAATCTAACCCCGGTTTTTGAAAATCTTCCAGCAAGCATCGCGAAACTACCCGGTTTCAGCAGAACGCTGCTGAAAGACGTGATTCCATTTTGTTCGAAATCCGCCGGGTCATAAATTTCATATGCGCGCCGGCAGAGGGAAAATGCATAAATGAAGAAGCATCACGACCCGGCGGTGTAAATCTTTCCGTCGTTAATACGAGCCCGTTAGAATTCACGTCCTCCGCGGGGCGGAAAGAAATAACGTTGCTAGTTGCCCGAAGTTGGAGTGCAAGCCCGGTGTAAGAAAGCTCGGAATAAACCATTCGCGTGACGCCCGTCGTGTTCCGCATGCATATTGCATCCCATAGCACGAGACGTGTCTCGCTCGCGCTCCTGCAGGGGTCTCACGTGACAATCACCCTGGCTGCTCTGGATTTCTCACTCGGCGGATGCAGCGTCCATTTTTCACCAGTGTCTGGTAAAAAATTGACAAAACCGCGGATCCCGACGAATATTTAACGCGTCGGCGGGTCCCCGAACACGCGGAAAACGCAAATTAACCGGGCTGCACCGGTTCGCGAATATCAACAGGGGAAATTGCGATAAGTAGAGTAAAGGGTCTGCAGCGACCAACGTTCGCGCGTTTACAACTGGATAGAAAATGGAGGTTCGAGGTTTGTTACGACCCCAGGACCCAACCTTCCTAGTCTTCGCGGAGGACTGCTTTGTGTCCTTATCGCCGGCATACTTTGACTCGTGCACACTCGATGCCGATCGGAGAAGATCAAAGAAGATAGGGGAATATTTCTAATCCAAGGTTCCCAGAATACGAGGTTAAAATTTGGTGAGTCTTCAAGAACATCGACAAGATTGAATAAAATTCGTGCCTTTTAGCGATCACTCCCGTATTTCTTGCACGAACGAAGATAAACATCTGCATAGGAATGATCGGTAAGTGAACGACAAAGATCCCAGGCTAGGAGTCGAAGTGCTGCTGCCCCGGGACCGAACGTCCCTAGTTAACCAGTTAGCTGTGATTGACGAGTGTACTCGTCATGGAGAAGTGGTAGGATTTTGTGTCATGACACCCATCCTTGATCCAACAAATTGTCAATCGGGAGAACGCTTCTTCTTTGGCGGTTCATTACCACTTCTTGGCTTCGGAAGATCGTGAGTGGTCAATCAATTGTCAATCAGTCGTCAATCAGTGGTCAAAACGTCGTTAAATAGTTGCATCGCTCCAAGAAGTCAGTCACTGAACAACTTCAGGAGCGAAACATCGCTTCAAACAGATAGCATATTTCATTCAAGGAACAAAGCACATCGATCCTAAGTCATTCTTGGCGGCCCAACAATCAAGCATTGTGAATAATCATTCACAATGTCGAATGGTTATTTGCTACATATTTGAATCGGACATAGTCATGTCTAGGATCGTGTAGCACACGTTGGCCTTACAACCCAACATCCGTGCCCGCTACATTGATCCTCGAATTCACGAATTGGGTCTGTAACATAATCGTTCCTTTCACGTTTCATAGTCGCGTGATCTCGTCCTGACTTCGATTCACGAGAATATCTCTTTTGATGTTCGAGTGACTCAGAGTTAGCTCATGTCCCTGTTGTAAATCGTCCGCTGGCTGAGTAACCCTGAACTAATTGTAAAGCACTTGGATAAGACGACAGGGGTCTATTGGAGATTCTGGAGACTTCCCTATGGGTGTTCTAGAGTAAGTGCTGTAGGGTTCATCACGTGCCTCTTGTCAGAAGGTGACTTTATCTTCCCCACTCCGTGGTCGGATCCAAGAGTCCTTTTCGCGAGGAAACTACGTCTTTAAATCCTCTAAACAATCATTCCTTCAACATTCGACAGTCATGTGATCTCGTCCTGGGTTCGATTCATAAGAATATCTCTTTTGATGGTCGAGTGATCCAAGGTTAACTCGTGTCCCTGTCGCAAATCGTCCACTGACTGAATAACCCTGTACCAATTGAACGTTCCTCTTGTCAGAAGGTGACTTCACCTTCCCTTTCTGGGTCACTCGACCATGAGTTAGCTCAGGTCCCTGTCACGAATCGCCCTCTGGCTGAATAACCCCGGGCTAAGTGTCTTAGACCACTGCTAGAGCTACGCTGAGGTTGATAAGCCCAGGCTAACTCTTGGTCATGCGTTCACCAATAGAGATATCAGTATGAATGAAAGTCAGGACAACACCAGGTAGCTGGTGACTCTAGAGTAACTGCTGTAGGTCCTCGAATTCACGGATTTGGTGGTTCGTGATCACTTTCTGGCTTCGAAAGATCGTCTGTCGTTGATCAACTTTCAAACACACCACAAGCCTTTGAACAATCTCAAGAGCATCAGCGACTGAACGAGCATTGCGAATAATCATTAACCACACATTCATAGGAACCACAAGACATCATTATAATTCCTGTGAGGGGACCCCTACAGGTCGAAGCGTCTTAACCGAGCGAAAAATCCTTTAATTCCATAGTTGAGTGAAGGAGTATCTCGAAAGTGGTGGTCGAGGGTGATTTTAATTTATTCCTCGAGGTGGTTCGTAAATCGAGTTCCATTGTGCTG